AATGACGAAGAGCAATTTCTTTTTACCCTGGTCAAATGTGCTTTCCTTAACATTTAGGCAGAGATCAACCTTCTGACTTTCATTTCAATTAAGCATTAAATACACATAACACACACACACACAACTTGGTAAACTTGACACTCAAAGTTGTAGAGAAAAAAAAAAAGGTAACACAAATCCATTTTATTTCTGAAAGACAGAAAAGGACTGATAAGTACTGTCATCTTGCTTAAGTAACGTCAGATGCAAGATCAACTGGGAATAACAGTTTAAATGTTAATATTGTTACAATTTATATTAATCAGTGCATTCTGTTTATGCAAGAGAAGACTAAGTGGAGTTTCAGATCAGCATCATCACTACAGGGCTGGAAGGGAAAGCTGTCTGTTGAAACTGTGTATGACACTGTTGAACTGCTACTGAAGCCTCAAAGAATGGCTGTCAGGCAGTCAAACTCTACTGGCAAAGCCTTTTTTGGTTATTGGTTATACCAGCATCTGTGTTTAAGTCACTAGTAGAGAAGTTTACCAGTGCTTAGAATCAAACAGCTTTAGTAGGCTTAACCATCATGCAATGAAGATGCAACATCCAAGATTAAAATGCCTACAGCAATTCAGAGCAAGCAGTGTTTCAGACACGAGACAGTAATGCATCACTTCAGTCAGTGCAACTGGAACAGATCAGAAAGCCATGTTCACCCCACTCAACATATTGTACAAGGAGATAAGCAAACAGTAAAGAGGTCCAAGAACCAATAATTCCTCTATTTGGCTTCTTTTTAAGTTAAGTATTCAGTCTATTTATATTCTTCTCCCCTGCTTGCAAATAAAGGAAAAATAAATGCGTCTCTGCATACATTATAAAATTAAGGTAGTAATCCCTCTCCAGCAATGTATCTTTGAAATGGAATGAAACTATATTGAAGCTCTAAAAGTCGGTGGTGTGCGAAATGCTAACTAGAGCTCATCTCTCTTCTGTGCATGCTGTTTTCCCATATACTGGGAAACAAATTGGCAAAACCTTTAAAGCTTGATTTTCTAATGTATCTTTTTAGGCTTTCATTCAGTCATAAGTTCATGCCTAACTCAAGCTGGCATCCATAAATATCATAAGAAAACTGAAGTCAACCATCCTTGGCTTCACCACCTTCAAGGCTTCCAAATGAGGAACTGTATTCTTACTATAACATTATTACCTTGACTATGATGGAGAATCTTGCCTCTTTCAGCAAAATGCCCATCAGAAAGTGGAAGGTAATCTGTTACCTACATATCAGTGAAGTGGGGAAAGAAAAGTCAACATGTGCCCGGAACTGCCAATGAGCCGTTTTAAAATTCATCACTGAGGAGGCAAAAAGAATCAACTGTTTTAATCTCAAAGTCCACCATAAGGCAGTTGAAAGCATTCCCCATGGCAACCAGAAATCCCTTTCCTAAAATTTTTATACTTTTAGGAAAGAAGTGTTACACAGCTTTAGTAAAAGTTGTGGAAAAGTTTGGGTTTGTTCAGTTTTGGAAGAATGGGGTTTTTTTTCTTCTTCTTTATATAGAATCATACACTTGACACTTGTTCCTCTTACACGTGAAAGGCTTAAGTGGTAACCTCTTCAGGGAGAAGCCTTTAGGCAGTCTCCACAAAGGGGCTGCTGTCCTGACAAAGGAATCTAACAAAATATTTAAGAAAGCAGAGATCCTCATCTTCCGGAAAAATACCGGAGAATTTAAAACAGAAAATGGATTTCAGCTACAAAAGCTAAAAACAACAACAACAACAAACCCTCTGATCACAACCATTCTGAGTTTAGAGCTTAGGAAGTCCTCAGCCATTTAAGCATGATGGCACTAGATGATTGTCTCGAAGGACTGACATGTTTTACAGAAATCTTAGTGGCTGGAATGCTGGCTGGACTCACTGACTGCCAGTCGGTTCAAGTTACACCGTTAAGCAAACGGCAGAAAAACAGAGGACCTTTCAAAGCATATCATCTCACTTCCAAGATGTTGACACATGCCAGGTATGTCAACATTAAGACTGCATGTTTGCCAGCGAGGATCCACCTCAGAGTCAGTGCTCTCAACATACCTTAGCAAAAGGACGCTAACAGCTTGAAGATGAGCATTTCTACAGTAGCCACAGTAGGAGCAATGCAAGTCACTTCGATTGTGGACAAATTTAGGTGGCAAGATGTGCAGGGGTCCTACTAAAATAATTTAAAAAACCCCCGACCCTATGAACTTCAAATTAGTTTGTGCTCCAACATACAATACTCACCACTTCTGATCGTATTAACTTAAGCTTTTAGTTCTACAGTATTTATTAAGTAGCAGCTATACAGTTACAGGACAGCTGGTGATAAACTGAGTGTTGAGAGCAGTCTGTGCTCCAAAGGTTTGCCATTTTGAAGCCAGAATCTATCACTACTATAATCTCATCTGACTTGTTTCTACAATGCCACAATGTATTTTTTTCCAGTAGACAGCTAAACTGTGTATTTTAAAAAGATACTTAACACTTCAACTTACAGCCAGTGAAGAGTCCAACACCTCCTCTATTTCAATTTGTACTTAGTACAGAAAACCGAATTTGTCTGTTTTGGCTTCTCAGTATTTGAGCTTGCCTGACTTTGATGTCAGCATTAAGAAGCGCTATCCTCCCACTCCTCAGTACCAGATTTTTTTTTTTCCATGCATAAGTATTTACTCTCCAGTATCAAAATGTTGCTTCGTCTTCTTTGGTAATGACAGAGTTCCTCAAACCTCACACTGCAAGATCTACTATCCGGCCTCAGATCTTACTTCCAAGTCAATTATTGCTATAGCCTTCTCAAGTACAGACATCAAAATTGAACATTTTTCTGGTAGTAGTCTTCTCCATGCTGTCTGGGAGGCAAAATTAGTTTCCTACTTTATGTATATTTTTCCCTTTGTATGTGTTTAAGCACTTCACCAGGCTTTTAACTACAACTCTGAAGGCTCAGCATTGAGGTGGCTCTCCAGCACCAATCTTTTTGTATCGCTGCTTTGTTTTGTCTACCATGTACAGAGCATATAATCTTTGTTCAAAGAGACCATTGTTACCTTGTGATGACTTTTTTTGCAGCTGTAACTGTTCTATCAGATGATTCAAAGAATAACGGAACAATATCATGTTCTCATTATTTTCTATTCCACCAAATTTTCTCCTCTCCAAACTTCACCAAACAGTTGACTCTTCCTATGCTTTTCTGTAGAGATGACATATAATTACTCTTTGTTAGGCAATAAGACTCTGGATTCCTTCTGTTCTCTTAATCAATGTACCAGGACTCTTAAGGTACTTGCACGTGTAAGGTCCCCCTCTCAATTTCTAACGCTCCTCTTCTAACCGTTTCACTAGCCACCGTAAATGCATTTGTTAACATCACCACTGCTTCTTGAGGACAGAACTAGCACATCGGTTATATACAGTGGAACCTAAATAGAAAATGATAGAAAAGACATGTATCACTTGATTTCAATTAGCTACAGGTTTTGAAGGATCTTTACTAGAAAAAAAAATTTAGGCAGTCAGTGAATTAATTCTTTCATACAGTACAGCATGTACATATTGGCAAGAAGCGAGCCCCTAATCACAGGTTCCTGGCAGCAGCACCTGTTACTGAGGCAACTAGAAAACCCCTATGGAAGAGCTGAAACTATTTAGACATCACTGGGTGAATTGCTTGTGTTCACTAGAGCAAGAAGTATTTCCTCAGAATGTACCTCAAAAGAAATTCCTGCTCAGTACTAGTATTTTCAGACAAACTGAATAAAAGGCACTGTTGCTCAAGCAGTACATTTGTTGTCTCCAACCGTTTTTTTTTTTAAAAAAAAAAGATGTTTTTGAACTAACTACTGTTGCCCTAATAAGGCTTCCTTGTTACCTCATAGTAATTTCATCTCTCCCTATAAAAGTTTAACATAAAAGTTGCTTTTATCTGAAGTATGTAGAGTCTCACCTTCATATCTATCTTTATGTCTAAAATTATGAGTTAGTATAACAGTATGCATTATAAAATTATACCATTTACTTCAGACATGTCTGAACAGCTACATCTTCAAACTATACAAAAATAAAGTGTATGAAATCTTACAAAAGGAGGACATTAAGACATTAATAGCTAATCCAAAAAATATAATAACTTATACACAGCAGTAAGCATAAGCAATGTAGCCTACAACAGCTTTCAATTAACAGGACCTGTGAAACATGTCTGAAACGAGCATCAGCTAAAATTGGAACATTCCTAAGCACAATAATGTTTCCATTTTATTATCTTTACCACAGTACAAACTTTCACAAACCAAATGTCCATTGTCTGTAAACAAAAGCTACTATTCCCCCCTCCTCATTTCAAGAGGGTGAATATTTTCAGTCCTCAGTCAAGTTTCATATCCATCACTTGCATAAGAAATCAAGAGCCTCTTCTCTTGTTAAATTACTTTTTTTTTTTGTCATACAGCCTGCAGTGAAGTAAAATCACAGTGAAAGTCCTGGGAAAAACATGATCTTTACAGCAGGACTTGAACCATTCTAATAATAAATGCATCTAACAAAGCTTCCCATAATAAAAGCATGGCGTTTCCATTTCCAGAAATCAAGTCAATTACAAATCTTAAGTTCTACTTAAAAACCCCAAAAGATCTAAAAGTGAAAAGATTCGTCTTCTCAGTCAAATACAAGTCTTTCAGTTTCACTTGCAGAGAGACTTTTCCAGTCTGTAAAACAGTAGTGCAATTCAATTAGTTCTACTTCTGTTATTTTTCTTAAGGTCCAGTAGATAAATGTCCTAACTCTACGGAAAGATAGGAAGATGCTCTGGTAAACAAGAAATTTTGGCAAGCCCGGGAAGGCTCACTAGTCCATTAAAGCTTAGAAATCCAAAGTGGCTTAAAAATGGTTTACGAATGAAAAAAAAAAAAAAAAAAAAACCAACAAAAACCCCACAAAACAATAAAAAACCACTAAAAAAAAGACAAACTAAAAAAAAAGAAATAAATAGGCAGAAATTGATGTAAACTGTCTGAACTTTTTAATGATTTCTCATTGACAGCTGGCACGACCTTTGACAGTACAGTCAGTTAAATATAGTTGACCTACAGAGCATCCCATTAGGGCATCCAGTCTGGAATGCTCAAATGGAATTACATTCCTAAAGATTTAAAAAATAGAGTTCTTATAACATTACTATAGATTTCTTCTGCCCACCTCACTTAGACTTCTTCTTAAAGAGGCTTTTTATTTTCGATGGCTTTTTGGTTTTTTCACCGTTTTGGTACATGTCCTGTGGGATGCTACTTATCCTAGGGACAGAAGCAGCTTCATGGCTGGGTTTACTATCACTGCTGGCTGAAGAACACGAGGTGTGCCGAGGCTTTGGGACTGGGATCCCAGTTGAAAGCTGGTTCATGCTGCAGGACTTCTCCAGGATTCCATTATAAACTTTGCTTGCAGGACTAAAGATCATGCTCTTAGTTTCTGCCATGCCTACACAGTCCGGAGAGCCCCTAGAAATATCTGCAGTTAGAGAAGAGGAGTCTCCCGTAGACGATTCCTCCAGTGAGAATTCTTCCGGAGATACTTTCTGAGGAGAAAGTGTCTGGTACATCTCAAGACTTGCTGGAGGAGATTGCTTCCTTCCAGTGGATGAGTTTAAGGAGTCACATTCCGAACCTGTTTCCTGTACTTCCCTGAGTCAGAGCAAAGAGAGGAGAAAATATTATGAAACTACTATTTCCTTCGTGCGGTTAAAAAGGTAACTAATTTAAAATCAATAACGTTAGTCTAAAAGCACCACCCACACTTCTTAGTAGTTAATTAACAACAAACATTAAGTTAAACATTTCAACTTACAACTTGCATTACATCATTTTATAATCTAAACTTAAGATAATCAATTTGTGTGATCTTGCTTTTGTGGGCAGCAGCATCTGCCCAGAATCAGCCATTTGTATCTCACTTCAAAGAACAAAAACTATCTTTCTGGCACGTGAAGTCAGAAAAGTTATGAAATGAAAGAGGGAGATTTAAGCCTATCATACACAGAAAGTTTCTTCAGGACAAGTGTCCCTACCTTTCAACAAGCTCATTTGCTCCTTCCAAAAGGTATTTAACCTTTTCCTATGAGGCCATGTAACAAGAGTAGGTACACGCTCAACATGCTGTAAGAATTGTGTTACCATCCATCTTCTCTTCGCCCAGTAGCTGACCTTGCTTTTGATCCTAGTTTCAGATGTAAAAGCCAGTAACATATTGTAATGGAGAATCAGGGTTAGTTCAGTGCACCCTGGATTGTAACATTACTTAACTGTATATGACATGCTAGCTATTTACATACACATATCAGACACGAACTCTCTCTGTTCCGTGTGGACTATATTAATTTATATTATCCTACAGATTACTTTAACTTTTGGCTTCGCTCCACCTCCAATTCTAAACTGTTAAGTCTCAAATAATCCTATCAGAGTTCCAAGTGCTGTTCGCTAATCTCCGTACCATTGTTTATCAGCAGAGAAGTAAATGGCTTCCTCCTCCTCTTCAGTTCGATAAAGAGCTGGGCAGCTCGACACAGAAAGGATGTCAGGGTCAGGGGAGTGCAAAGCATGCTGAGACTGTGGAGATGATGGCACAACATTGCGTCTTGATCGACACAAGCTACTGCTTCTTGCCAGTGTGCTGGGAGGTTTTACAATGGACCCTGAAGCAAAGAAAAAGCAAACCAAAACCCTCCAAGTGACATGGATGTTAACAATATCTACTCTGAAGACTAAATAGCAGGTATCTGCTTCGGCCACAGTGATTCTTAAACAACTTTGACACCGCTCAACTGTTTTGGGGGAATAAAGACTGGCATCACCTTACATATTCTACAGCTAGATGAAGCAGCTAACCGAGATGCAACCACAGCAGTTTTGTGCTGGCCAAATATTACTCTGACCATGTGCACCAAAGCTCTGGCTCACTATGCTCTCTTGAGAACACAAAGAAATCTTCTACTGGAACTCCCAACCCTTTATAAACTAAAAATAGTAGTGCTGAAATTAGTATCTTACACAATATCCTGTATTTCACTTGCGTGGCGATTTGGAGCTTAAAAGAATATGTAAAAGTTTTGCAATGTAGGTGTATCTAACCAAACGGCCAACTGAAATACGTCGCATTAGCTGAAAGTTACGTTAGACATGGAAGACCAATTTCATTTATGTAACATGACAGAAAATATGTAATTCAACCTCATTTTAAGCTCAAGAATTTCCTATTTGATAACACTTTTTTTTTTTGCCAGGCTAACTATGAATTTCCGGAAACAAAAATACTAATGATGGGTGGAGACAGCAACAAAAGACTTGACCAGGAAAGTATCTAACAGGAAGCGACAAACTAAAATGTTCCTAATCCAATTCCTCCTTCAAAAGATGATTAGGGAGCAATACTTCTATGGAAATAGATCTACAGACCTGTTTTCAGGTTAGCTGTTATAAGCCTCAGGATTTCTTATACCCCTCCTCAATCCATCCCACAAAATGCATCACTGCTTAGGTCAGACAAATCGTACCCTCACTGATGTTCAAAATGTACATCAAACACAATGCACTAAAAAAAAAAAAATTCAATTATTTTTGTAGACAAGGATGTCTAGCCTGACCAAATGCACTTTATTTTTTGAGATGCCAGTTTACCATCAGGTAAATTACAGCTTCCCTTCCTGGAATCTCAGGAAAGGTTGAGTTGTCACTCTGCTTTCAGTGCAGGAAATCACAGCTTTCACAAAACAGCAAGCAGCTGCACCTTCGCCAACACTTCGGCTTTGCTGCCTGCCAGGCTGAGTAGAAAAGAAAGGTTTACAAGTCCCAACATGACAGTTGTCAGGTAACTCAAACTTTTGATTTTACTCCCTACTGATTTGAAAGGCAGGTGTTCGCAGCTCAAAAATAAGCTTGTGTCATTACAAAAAATATTCCTTAAAAAGCAAATGTGAACTGAGGTAAGAGAATAAGAATGCCTTTAGGAAATTTGTACTATGTGTCCAGGTAAATCAGATTCCATCCTACTTGATGGTGTAAAAAAGAACAAGATTGCACCATCGGTAAATTTTAAGAAAAGTTGCAAGCATTTTGGCACCTTGTAGGTGTACATACACGGGATTATGAAGGAATTCAGCTATGACAACTTAACATCTAGAATTTTCTAGCACAAAGGAAACTCACTCAGTCAAGGAATCAGCTGAATCCTAATCGGTCAATGGAAAAGTAGAAGTTTCGCTATCACCTTTCTGTAATGACTTTGTTCCAGTCTCATACATCTATTTCTTTACCCCCTTTTGTTCTTCAGCTCAGGATTGATTAAACCGATCTCATACTTCACACCATTTTAGCCTATCATCCCAATTGCTGTGGCAAAGAAGCCTGTCTGGCAGACTTCAAATTTTGTCAGTCTTAAGAGATCAAAGGATGCTGGCGCAAGGTAACAGCCCACAGTTCAGTTTGGGTCCAGAGACTGAAACAGTCTTGCTCGTAACTGACTTGTCTGCACACTACATTTTGCCTGAAGTCTCATGAGTGACACAAGCCATTTTGCTCCTGTCCTTCCTCCTGTGCGTTTGTCCTTTTTGTCTAAAGTATGGGAATAATTTAGCAGTTACCAAACTAACCTACAATAATTTGACTCCTGAAGTGGTTTCAACAATAGATCATTTAGCATATTTTCCCTCTCCCCACTCTCAAGTGTTTCCAGGGTTTTTTTTACTGAGTAGAAATTGTAAAAGCTAGTAAATTAAGGAGATGCTACTTCCCTCATGAGATCACTTTAACAAAGTCAGGCTCTCATGCCTTACCAAAATTCAGAAAAACACATTTAAAGTTTTTGTAACTTAGTACTAAGATTCTTTTGTCACTGACTGAGTCAACATTCATTAGCTAAATACTTCCAAATGAACTGAACTTTAACAAAAAAAATTAAACCATAGTTGCAAAAGTATATAGTAAAGTTTCAACTAAGTACGCTCTTAGAAACTGCACAGTCTCTCTCTGATGGTAGTTCCTCTAAACCAACTGCAATTTGCTCTCTGGCTTCACTTCTATGCAACACGTGAACGAGAAGAATGACAAAAAAAAAAAAAAAAAAAAAATCACTCAAGTCTGAAGTCTTCCATACATATCTAAGTGTTTAAGTGTTTTGTCATTCTAGACCACCTGGAAAGTCACAATACTAAATGAAGCTCTTCATTTTGAAATCGGACCACAGATTTCTCCATACAAACTTGGAAGTTTAACTCTAGGCATCCATATTTCACTCAGTCATCTAAGAAATTTGTTGCTAATGTTTAAATCAAAGCCTTCATAGTGAAGATGACTAGAGAGACAGTATTCTTTAAGTGATCAGAACTTGCAATAAGTAATGTTGTAAGGGGATTAATGAACTTTTCCATGTGGTCTGTAGAAAAAAGGTTGGTACATTCAGAAGAAAAACGTGTGCCCAAGGCACACTAAATGAAGGCAGCAAAGTGGTGATCATTCTCTTTATGCTACTTTAAAATACAGTTCTAATTTCTTCTGAGAATCCCAGCCCTGGAAGAAAAATATATGCATGTGAAAAAGTTTTCTTTCCTTCTCATTCCTCAGCTTGGTATTGCTTGTTTCAACAGCTACATGGGAGCTCATCATTTTGATTTGCCTCTAGAGTCCAGTTAATCACAACTTCCAGGAAACAGGCTCTTCTATTGACGCAGTGACTCAAGATACAAGGGTGGTCTGAATCTCCAGTGTATATCTTTTTATCATAGTTTAACCAAAGCTGGATTTCCCTCCCTCCCTCCGGCACTTGGCCTTTCTGCCTCACACTCAAACAACCCGCTGTATCCAAACACAAACGTTCTGCCTGAAAGCTTCCCTTGGACCACAAAAGGATTTTGTTCCAGCCACTAAAGGGTGTTTGAAAAGCTATGTAGCATGCAGCCTCTCAAAGCGTGTGATCTTAATAGTAGGTCAAGGGATCCTACACTAATTCCATCCCTTCAATCTGAAAGAATAAATGTGCTAACAGAAATTCAGCATTACTTACTATAAATTTTTGTCTGAGTGGCAATCCAAGCACGACAAGCAGACTTTCAAAATCTCAGCTGGATTTGCCCCCCCACCCCCTCACTGAAACAGAACAAAGGCTTTTTCTTCATGCTGTCTTTATTGCAAAACATGCTTTTCAGTTCATGCAAGTCCCAAAACACGCATCTGAAATGCAAAATAGAATTTTGGCCCTTTTGACTTTGATATAGTCCTGTTTGATTTCAGCACTCAACTGCCACCTCTCCTTAAAATCTCATGCCTCCACAACTTTCCCCCTTTGTTTTCACCGAGCTCACCACTTACCATGAAACTGTGAAACTATTGGAGGAGTATCTTCATCTAAGTCGTCAACTCCCCCTGCAATTGGGTAAGGAGGAATGGAAACTCGGGGCATAACTACCCAGCTGTGATCAGAGTAGAGAGAGGAGGTCAAGCTTGGCAGTCCAGAATTGTGTGCTATTTGAAAACCACAAATCTTCTCAATCTGTTGCCATCGATAAAGACGCTCTCGCAAACATGTCGTCAACTCAGAGAGTGCTTTCCTGAAGAAAAGCACACACGAAAATTACATACACTGTTCTTAATGATAAAGCAAAGCAACACAAGTGCACTCATTCCAGCATACCAGAAGATCCACTAGGACTGCCCAAATATTTGCACTTTAATACCTTCTAAACTGTTTTACTTAAAAGTGCAAAAACACTAAAGACACTAAATTCCGTAACTCTCCCCCCCCCCAAATCCATTGTTACAGGTATAAATAACCACAAAATACACATCCTGGTAATACTCTTACTTTGCTTCAAGGATTTTATGGTCCACTTCATCTAGAGAGGAGCTGTGTGCAACGTGTAATGTTCCAAATACAGTACTTCTCTTCTTTTTTATCTTTTCTGCCTAAAAACCAACATAAAATGAAATGCATAAACCTAGGAGTTATATACCTAACAGATGATAAAACATTAGTAACACTGACAGGGAGCAATTAACTCCTCAAAGGAGGAAAAAAATATCTAAACATCTGAGTAATTTGTATTTACTATTTCATATATCTAGCAGTAGATCAGAAAAGTCTTTAAGCAGCTAAAGGGTGAGTTAGTACCTCGTCTTTGGCGATTGCTAATTGCATTTCTGCATGCTGTCTTTTGATGTTGTAATATTGTACTTCAACTTCATGTGTTAACTGAAGCCACTTCTGCAAAGCTTCAGGAACAGACCAATTACTTCTCAGCTCAAACTCCTTCTCAGCCTTTTTTAAAGCCATGCGAACCTAGCAATCAAAAAGAAATACAAGTGACACCAAGAATATCATTAGAAGTGACAGCAGAAGAAAGTGGCACATAAGCACCTTTACACTCCACAGCAACATACTAAGGCTTTACGGAGCTTTGGCAGGAACACAGACCAGGCATTTCTGAAATACACCATAAAAATTTCCATATACTATACTATATTCGGATATTTTTTCCTATGATACATAGTCCCTAAGGTGAAGCTTAAATATTTCTGTAAGACAGCATTTTTATTTAGTACAATAAAACCAATCTATTGCTACTAAAAGTGAAACAAAACTACTATCTCTCATCTAATAATACAACAGAAAAAAAGCTTTTGTATATATTTTGTTCCAGGAATCCGTTAACATTATGACAAGCTAATATAGAAAGTGTATGTCTTCTTATAGTTTCAGGATTATTTTATTAGACGATGGTATGACTGACAATCAGTAAGTGCTTTTATAATTTTTCCGTTCAAATCAAGCATTAAAGAAACATTGCTTTAAATACTCCTAAGGATATAATAAAACCAGGACCAATTTAAAGTCAACACTAAGATTATAAACAGTTTGCAGATACCTGTACTAGCTCTTCCTCTGCATATTTGAGCCTGCTGAGCTCACATTCAGCTCCCTCCCTCAACTCCCTTAAGCGATGAGCTTCCCGTTTTGCATCATTGATCTCATCCATCATTTTGCGCTCCAGATTTTGCTTTTCCACAGCAACATTTCTATTCTCTTCTTGTGCCTTCTCAAGCCTTCACAATTGAACAAAAAATATGAGAAAATACACAGCATATTTGTTAAAAGTTGCAGTCCTCAGGAGAGGAAAATACGTCCAGCAACAGGGCAAGAGGCAACAGACACAAACCAAAACACAAGATATTCCATCTGAACATCAGGAAACACTTTTTCACCATGAGGGTGATGGAGCACTGGCACAGGTTGCCCAGGGAGGTAGCAGAATCTCCATCCTTGGACATATTCAGAAGCCGCGTGGACAAGCTCCTGGGCAACCTGTTCTAGATGATCCTGCTTGAGCAGGTGGGGCTGGACAAGATGACCTCCGTAAGTCCCTTCCAACCTCAACCATTATGTGACAACAAAGACTGTGCAAGCTTCATGAACCAGCAGCGATTACATCACACAATGTGATGTCTACATCATATAAAATGTGCAAATTTTTAGGTGAACCTTCATTAATGATGTAATAAGACCAAAATACAAGTCTATAAAGACAACTGAGCTACAGGTACACCACAGAAGACTATCAACTCTCACAGTGCTAAATAAGCAACAGGAAGTAATCAGTCCAGGTCTGTTTCAATCTTAAGAGCTTAAAAACAGGAGAAATGTTCTCATTTCCATGTAAGTATTCCAAAGTAAACTGTAATTATACAAAAATGACATACTTCTAAATCTGTAGGTAAAAAAAGATTGAACCTCTATTCTCTACCTTCATCCCTAAGTTCACATTTTAGAAGGCAATATCCAGGAGCAATTTCTACCAAAAAAAAAAAATTGTACTGAAATCATCATTTCCACGCAAAATGTAGATGAACAAAATCTCAAGGCAGCTTAATGAAAATAATTGATGACTGCGAAGAATCTGTATTTGTACTTAACATCAAAACAAAAGGGAAACCGAACATTAACTTTTTAAATTTTTGTACCTTTCCTGCAAGTCAAGAAGACTTTGCTCTGCTGTTTGGAGACTTTCTAAGTCCTTCATCATTTTTGTGATGTGTTCTCTTGAGGTTCTGTTCTGTGTATACGCAAACCAGCAGCCTCCAAAACCAATAACTATAGAAACTGTTAATACAAAATCCTTCATCCAGTTGTGAGGGGGACCTGCACAGAGAATAACATGGCCATTAACCAGTTCATTGATAGAAACAACAGAATATGGACTTTCCCCACCACATCTCCCCAACCTACAAGGTGACAGAACCTGGTGCTAAACAGAATTCCAGCTCATTTACCACAAACCATCTCCAGCAACTACCTTTCAAGCTTTCAAATGGAATCCAGAACATTTTCCATACGACAACAGCAACTCTGCTCTAATACAATCTGCTTAATCTATACTAAAAGATACACTAGATTGAGGAAAGCTTACTAAACTTTTGCAGTACATACACATACTGTATCTTTATTTAAGTAAGTTAAGAGAGAGTTTCCCCAAATACACTTTAACAGGCCAGGAGAAACTTTGGTTATGTTTGAGTAAGTTCTCCCCAGTCTGTGCCCTCTGGAATATCCTATGCCGAGTTCAAAATGCACTTGTACAAAATAAAGTAGATTTTAAAAGGGTAAGTAGCTAATAGCAGCACTTTTTAAAAGCAAAACCTGGATGGCCAAAGTGTCATACCCAAGATTCATGTATACTCCTTTGTTAGTACAAATTTTACGGTCACTTGTACCTTTGTGAAACAAACTTTTAAAAGACAGTTTCAGCTAACATTAAAGGTATGGTGCAAACACCAAGTGCTTTTTCCTCTAAAAAGCTGTAGCTCACATCTGTCAGGCTAACTCCGATCAGTCAGGCCAGCTCAGATCTGGCCTGACTTTTGCAAAGTCATTCACTGCTCTCCAAACTGCTCACCAAGCTCTGGAAGGGCCTCCTAGTTCAGGAACACCTGACACACGCAGTACCACACCATGTCTGTAACTGCCTATAAGCAAGCACGCAGACTGCTGGTGATGTGGTAAGGAAATGTCTGCACATGCTAAAATGGGTCAGAGTGGAACTGCTGCATTAAATTTAACTGCATTTAAACTCGAGTCTGCACAAGAGACACTGGGATTGGATTTGCGCCATCATCTTTTTTCTTCCTTGGGGAAGGTCATCCCCTCTCATTGCGGCATCCCAGCTTACAGTGCCCAAGCTAACTGGGAACTGAATGTAAAATTAGCTATAAGTGTAATTTAAATAGTCAAAAAGATTTGGAGGACACTTCTTGTGACACAAAGGCAAACACCCATCTGTCAAGTGAGGTTATACTAAAATTTCTACATAATCTTACACACAGAAGTGAATCTTTGTCCTAATCCCAGGATCCTGATCACCCTTTTTAATTCATTGCCCAGTTCCACAACACATGCCAAGCAATCTATCAGTACATCCACGAAACAGATAAGCTGTCCTACCTACAGCATCAAATGTCACTAAGTATTCTCTGTTGAATTCTTACAAACAAGAGATAAGAAAAAACCCCAGAAGGTTACTAACGTGTCAGAGGACCAAATAAAACAACATCCAAGGCTTTAAGCTGAAGCTTCTGTCTATGGCTCCGGTCAATTATTTTCAAGTGAGAGATCATGAAAGCATGTTCGTTTACTGCTATCCTGTTAATGATAAAACAAAACGTTACCTATTCCACAAGCTATATTGAAAACCAGTCTATGGAAAGAAATACATCAACAGCATTTCCCACAGTTATACAGATTACAGTTATGCCATGACAGCAGTGCTATAAAAAAAAGCTTATCAGCATGTGGCAAAATAAGAACATCAAATCATTTCCCTATTCTTTTCGTTCTGGAATAACCGTAAAATAAATCCATTTGACATAGTTAGAGGTAGTGGTATATTTGCAGACTTGTGACACCAACTCTCTGAAATACATACAATACTCAAATTTAAGTTATGCTCAAGAGAAGGGGTTCTACAGATAGTTTTTGATGTATAACCATACAATAGATTGGAAGTTGTTCAAAAGAAAGTTCACTACCATACAGAATTACGTCTTCATCAATAAAAACTTCAATGGCAAGAAACACAACTAAGACAAAAGGCATAGCAAGAAGCATTCATATTTTGAAATATTTTGGCAGAAAAAAAATGCAGCCAGCTCTTCAAAAGTGCAAGGACACTTCTGTTTTCTTGCATTTGACCATATCTTGTTTGACTTCAGGTTCACATAGTTGTTCCCACATAGAGACTAAAACAGCAACCTACAAGGAATTATTTGCAACTAATCCAGATAAAAAGTTCACCTGGGAAGTGTTGTTCCATTGACATTGCTGTCTCTGAAATTCTTTTCATACTGGGGCAGTTCAACAAATTCTGACAGCCACTGAAGAGTGTCCTCTTGAGTCCAGTTATGAACTGGAAAAAAAGTCAGTTTAGTTACCTTTAATTTTTGTAAAAATCAATAGCAAGACATAGGAGACAAACAGTAGAAAAGCAGGTTACAGTAAGCAAGAGGGTTTAGTCAAACATAATTGCATAAAAATTAGCATTAACATTCACCAAGGTGTTTCTGGCATTTTGCCTTTTTCATTATATGCTTCTCAGAGGAAGCTTAAGCAAACTATAAACAAACAAGCATGGAACCAACAGAAACATTTCTTTATTGAAAATTCCACAGAATACTTTAGTGTTTCACTTTAGTTTAAAACAGGGCAGCATCTTGTGACTTAAAGTGATCTCAGCCTCAATCCTTTTGTCCTTGTCAGCAGGTGCTGTAGCCATTTAAGGCAATGTACCAAGATCTTTCCCAGGATGAGGGCTTAAGAACTTGTTTTCACAAGAATCTTCATAGAGGCTCACGCCTACTAACCACAAAATGGGAGCACAGAAGAAAGGAAGAGAGGACATTGAAAGACAGCACAAATTTAACAGGAAAACAATTCAATCTCTCTCACATATGCCCAAAACAGCTGTATTACATGCATATTATACATGTAGCATGTACAAGTATACATGTATTATTACATTACCACTAAGAAAATTTATTTAAATATGTAGGGAATAATTAACAATTTTCCTGTATAACAGCAATAGTCTACATAACTTTTCATAGTTACAGATGCCCTAAGAAAATATGAAAATACCAGCTACAGATTTTACAAAAAAAAAAAAAAAAAAAAACCAAACCAAAAAAAACACACCACAACAAACCCAAAACAAAACAAAAAATACATGGGGAAAAAAACAACCAACCAACCAACCAACAACGGCAACAACAACAACAAAAAAAACCAAACACAAAAACCAGAAGCAAGCAAACAAACAAAATAAAACAACCACCACGTTTCTGGCCCTTAAGGCCAGCTGCTGCAGCTTACAGCTTCACAATGACAAAGTTGAAGGGAAATTGTTCTCTCCGTTTATGAAGTCTGAAGAAGTTTGTCTGCACAGGAAAGAAAAAGTGACAGCTTCCTTCTGGACAGACATATCTTTGCATGAACAAATTTTTTTAGTTTTTTTTTTTTTTTTTTTCTCCAAACCTTTCTCTATCTAAAACTACTTGCATATGACAACGCTCAGCAAAGATTTCTTTAGAAATCTCATCACAACGACATATTCTCAGCTGTGAATTTTGACCATGCTCCTTTAGAAAGAGCTGCTGAAAGCCTGACAGGTAAGCTGCAGGCAATAACAATTTTTACAAGTTCAAATTCATATTTCAGTTCGCACTGAAACTGAAATACGGACTTCTAGGTCTCTTGTCTACACTAACGTAGCTGAAAAGTAAGCTTAAACATTTCAGATTTTCATTACTCCAGATAACCAGAGACAGAACATCTTTCACAGACCCACTTCTAGCTTTCATAAACTCACAGTACAAACCACTTGGATTCTATCAGTATGAATGGATACACCCCCTTCCCAGCATGCTGTCCCACTTCTTCCTCTGCTTTTGAGCCACAAACTGCTTTTCAGGTATTGATCTTGCAACAGTCTCCATTTTGTCATATTATTCTAAGCTTTTATGCAAAATGTCTCGGCTCTATTTGTAAACAGATCATTTTCACATTGCAAAGATACTGTTTTGTGAATAGTAAGTGGTCAGATTTACAAGTCACTCTAAGCCTCTCGAAAGGGTGGTAAAATCATCCAGAAAAATATCACTTTAACTGCATTCCAGGAACACGTTCAGAAACTGATGCAAAGCAAAAGCATTGTTTTGATGTGACAGAGAGAAAAAAAAAAAAAAAAAAAAAACTAAAATAACAACTACACACTGCAGACTTTATCACTGACAGTACAGAACATGCAGTTTCAGAAGTCACAGAATTCACTGAGTTTATAAATTGAGCAGGAGGAAAAAAAAGAAAAGAACATCAAGAAGTTTCACTCCTACCGCTGAAAGTATTTTGTAGTCACTCTGTCAAAATTTACATGTTTGTACTTTTTCATAATTCAGTAGTAATTTTAAACATATTATCACATAAGAAATGCGGTGTGTACTGGAGTTGTTTACAGTAGAGTCAGTCACATCTGTTCTACCAATTAGATCGGTGTGATGTTTCTTTCACAGAATATCAAGGAAATTTCCCCAAACAGTTATATTTAGGAAAAAACACTTTACTATTATTCATTAGCTGTCACTGTATCAGATAGCTCCACTAGTACAGAAACTGCAAAAAGCAGCAACCAAACCCTACCCCAAACTAGGACCAGAACTTGTACTTTCTGTATTCTTCTTACACGGCTACCTGTTTACATAAAAGTTAATCTCAGTCACTTTTTGGTATATGTTTAAATGACCACTCACCATTTAAGCTAACCATAATCAATACTGACAGTCAACTCTTATTCTGGGATTTCACAGTCTAAATCTCTGCCCATGCACATATCTCACCAGAAATTTAGATTTATTATGCAAATTAATCGTGCATTAGCAGAATTCCAGTGTCAGTACCCGCAAACACCCAACTTCTCCAGGTGGAACCGGACCCTAAAGTACCCCACCCTCCCTTTCCTACAGCACCACAGTGGAGCCCTGGGAGATTCCTTTTTATCAGCGAAAATGTTCAGTCTGTTTCTTTTTGTGGATATCTTCTATATCCTATAGATATTGGTAAGAAGTATTGCTTGACTCGTCTCCAATGAGACCTTATGACCAACATACATGTTTATTCTACAACAGCATACAACACAGAGAAGCAAACTGGCCTTTCTTCAGCAGAAGCTGTTACAGCCTCCCAAAACACGACACAAGCCAAGCGATACACACCAGGTGTACTGACAGGCAGGCAGGCCAGCTGAAATTCATCCCCATCAGCATTGCCAATTAGACTCTGACAGCTCCTACTAATTGGCTGAGGTTGTAACTCTGCCTTACATTAAACACTCAAAAAGAATATAGTGCTTCAGACAGTGGAGTAGCAACTAACAATTACTGTAAGTTAAATGCATATAGCATGAAAGAGTAATCACATCAGCCTTCCCTCTCACACCTACTTTCACAAATAGGTATCGTGAGAGAGAGGATGTCAGCAACATGCCCTGGGCAGGCAGGTGTAGAAGCCACGGTGTTTACACCCCAGTGCAGCACTCAGTCTCTACACTTGCATTAGCTGTTCTATTTCAGACCACAAGTTTGGTTTTTTACCTTTTTTTTTTTTCTTTTTAAACTGCTATAATAACATGCCTGAAGGTGAAGACAGCAAAAATAGCTTATGAAAGTTGCTCCGTGCTAACCCACGTTAATGGCTGATTAGAAGATCAGGCTATGCATCGCTTCTTCATGTTAAATTTATCACGTAGCACAGTGCTTCAGGGCAGGGAGGTGTGAAATAAACCAACATTACAGTATCAGCCCCAGTACTCCTATGGGCCTCCTACTCCTTTCAGGAATCAAATTACCTTCATTAAGAATATGTCATGGCAAGGAGTGAATGGCAGCCATATACTAGGCTTAAAGCTGAGAACCGGCTGACCAGGCAATATAGAAAAAAACAAGATTGCTCTGTATCAAGCACATAGGATTCAAAAGTCAGTGTTGTTTTAGCAGGACCTTCAGCAGCAACATCAGCAAGAAATACACTGCCACCAGGTAAGTTTTTAGATAGCATGAAAAAGCAAAAGAGACGAGTGGCCCTCACTGTCTTTCCAACATTACATGATGATATTTAACACTAACACTGTAGTTTCCTCTTGCGCAGAAGGGCCCGTCCCCGGTACCGTACTGGTCCTGCCTGGGACAGCATGCAGCATTATGTAGCTCATCCCTTCGCCAAGCCCTGCGTGCACGTGCTTCCTGTCTCCAGGTATTCCAAACCTGAGACAGCAAATGATTAAGAAAGTGCAAGGCATATCATCTTTGTGATATGCAGTCTAGTCCCAGTTGCTGCAAGAACACTTGTGCAGCATTACTCAGAATACAACAGGTGATCACACATACAAACATGAAGCCATTTTTTACCTTTTCCCCAATAAATATGGTACCAGACTTTAGGTCACCTTGCACATTCCACAGAGAAGGAAAAAGAGTTGAAGAAAAAAAACAATACACACACAAGGCAAGGGAGAAGTTTTTTTGTATTATAGGGCAGCCTACAGGATATACTACACATTAAAAGTCAAATACGCCGTAATGGTAAGGAAAAACTACGGGTTTTTTAAGGCAGTTTATCAAAATTAGGTCTTGGTATGACTCAGATTAGTCTGACAACACAGTGGTCAGGTTTGACCACTATAGTTGTACTTTGCCACAAAATCAAATCCCAAGGGACAACGTTACACCACCAAGAACACAGCACCCTACCTATTCCCCAAGACAGGTCAGAAAACTACGCAGCTGAACACTCCTGTGCTGATTTTAGACTCCCTTACTATAGAGACTAAATATCTACACGTGTCTTCAGATAGCAAATTCATACAATCTCAGCCCATTAGAGGGGAGAAAAAAGAGAAGGTAGACACCCTTGAGACAAAGAACTTTCAAAGGCAATGGTGCAAAGACTGGTGTTCAGACATCAAAACAAATGCTCACCCGTCACCTTTGCTGCACTCATAACGGCTACCTCTTCAAGGCCCTTGTAGAAAAAAATACGGAAGATGCACCTTTGATTTTAACCCAACAATAACTACTAAGCTTGATACTTCAGAATAGCTGAAAAGCTCTGTATTTGTGTAAATAATACTTAGTTAGAAAGAAAAGGAGACAGTCAAAGCAAACACCATACAACCAGCACATACTGGCATTTACGTTTAAAGAACAGACACGTAGAGTAGTAAAAGACAGAGGATTTTCAGAAAGCAGTGTTTTCTATGGTTAATCAGCTATGCTAGTTCCTAGCCATTCCTCTAAGCAGAGTTCTCTGTACAATTAGATTCTGAGATTAAAAAATTTAAAAGAAAAAGAATATTCTGAAGCTGCTTTTTTATTTTATTACACAATTTTTAAAGCTTTCAATGGAGCCAGTCCTCAGAGTTCCATTCACTGTATAAGATCCTTCTCAAGCAATTACTTTAAAATAACCTTTGTTTTTGTTAATCCTAAAAGGAGATGCCAAATAGCAATGGTGCACTTACTACACCATAAACAGTGTTTTCACTTTTTTCCGCTCAACCCTTACCTGTCTCGCATCACCACTATCTTAAACAGAAAGCAACTTTAAGCTGTCTGACAAATACTTAAGACAAACATCCACATAAAGCAAGTTTTACAGGAAAGAATGGCCAATTCTACTCAGCATAAACTAAGCAGCAATGGATCCAGAAGATGTTTCGGCCTAAGCACTAATGGGCACTGTCAAGGGCACTATTTAGAGCTTGTAATTCTCACACAGATACCTCAACAGACTTCTTAATGAAGTTTCAAATTACTGATACCATCATTTACACTACCTTCCACTCTCTTGTTTACTGCTGTCAAATTGCACTAAACTGGCACTATGAACTAGCGGCACGTAAAAAACAAATAAATCAAAATTCCTAAAACATCTAGAAAGGAAGAACAGTATTTTCCATGTTATCTAATATTAAATGAAAGTAGTGCGTTATCTGAGGGGCTTGATGCTTTCTAACAGCCACCAGATCGCTGTTAACACTGCTTGGGAGTCTCACTCTAAGGGCCTCCCCGCGGTGCAACCTGAGTTTCCTCAACAGGATGCACAGTAAAGCCATTATAAGCAGACACAATAAAACTAGACATTCCTCTCGAAATCTTTTGAGTCTTACTCGCACTGCTCACTACATTCAAGAAACCTGGGAAAAAGATATACACAATAGACAGACAGTTCCGATGTCACTACAGCCTAAATTTTTGAAGAGTTACTCATAAGTTAAACGAACAATTGTAGGGAGGTAATTTTCTCTGATAATTTAGTTGCAATACTCTCATTGAACAAGATCTTTAGTGAGTAAGTATTTACAGAGTATTTGAAGAGATAAGGTTAAATATCACTGTTTAAAATGTAGACATTTACTACACAGCAAACACTTAATCAATGTATTACCTCAGACTGGACTTAAATGACCTCCTGTATTAGCAGAATGAACCAACGGCATGTTCCTAATTTCATTCCGCTCTTGTTCCTACTTTTAGCTGTTTGCCCAATACCAACTTTCAGATCTCTGTACGCTCATAATTAGTCCAACACCTTCCGAATGGTTGGGGGGTGAAGTATTCTTCTCCTGACAACTCTAACACTCCAAATATCTGGATATTTCTTTAATTACTACATCCTGGAACATATTTGGGAATGAGCACTGTACTGCTCATTAAGTACTGTCTTTCGATATTTGAACTACTTAGCTCTAATTTCATTCAAATCACTGGGGGAGGGATGGTGGCATTGGGTTATCTGTCCATTTTCCTGCATCCCCAGCTCTTTGTGGCCTAAAGAAAATTTACGTCAAAGTGGAAGCACCTTGACTTTCCACTTGACACAACACAAAATAAATGTTTTAAAAATAGCTTGACAGCAACCCTTAGGGCTTACTAAATTAAAAACATGCTTATCTAGAATTCAGCACTCACGACAGCCACCTTCATAAATTACAACCTGGTATGGATGAGCGTGTAAGCTAGCTTAGTTTACTTACCATATACCCAGCACATCAAGAGGAAATTAACACTAGCTGGACTGAATGAGGTTTTAGCCAGATTTATGTATGCCTGTGAATAACAGCACCAAAACAGGTTCATGAAGTTGCTTTAAGAGGTCATCCATTCACTACTCTAAACTACCTGGTGGAAAAAATTGTTGAATTATGTCTATTTCAACAACCATGATCATTTTTTGCTGTTGTTCTTTACCTACCTTCAGACGTTTTCCAGCGTTTCCACAGATCCTCAATGGTGATATGTTTGTCTTCTCTGTGCAGGTGACTATGCTTATTAGAGGCATCCTTGTATTGCATATCTTCCCTTAGAAACTAAAGAAAAGGGAAAACATCATCTTAAACACCAAAATAACAATTTCTAAACAGAAACTACAAGGAAATCAGAGGAATCTTTACTATCTCCTCCCCATGCAAGCAGCACACAATTCATGCAAGTTGACTATACCAAAGACTCAGAAGGCAACTTAAGCAGTCTTACACGATCTGATTTTCACAATTACTAAATCTCAGAAAGCTGAAGATGCAGTTGCTAGTATACTAGTTTTAATAACATTATTACCATGCTGTAGAGTTACAGTGATTACAAGAACACACCACACAAGTCATACTGCATACTTCTCTATTCTGAAGACACTTCACCAACTTCACCCACTTGAAAATTAAGACCATGTACGATTTGAAAATGTGCTAGTCTTTTATGGATGAGCAATATCTGAATCCTGCTACACCAGTTAAAAGCAAACACTTGAGGGATGAGAGAAAGGTATTGACTAAGTATTACCAGTCTTCTGATTAGACAACAAAAATTTGACTTCTATTTCAACAAATTAAAGAACAGAAGTCATTTTAGTGCCAATTTTCTTCTTGCTAATCATTCCTCAGTCGTTACACTCCAAGCACAGAAGCATTACACAAAACTCTTTTATTCCCAGTAATTAATAGGAAGACTATGTCTAAATACCGTGCTCTGTCTTTAAGTAAACATGATAAAAAGGAAGATCCTGCAATCACGTCATATGTAGCAGTGTTGTATCATTATTTCACAAGTCACTACAAATGGGTTCTCCGTATACATACAAGGAAAAGTATGGAACTGTAAAACCCATTTTATTTTTATTTCACACAGGCATACAAAAAAGTTGCAACACTGGTCAGCAAACCACCTCCCATTGGTAGTGGAAACCTTCTACAGCTGTCAGTCCCTAAAAGCACAGCATGAGCAGTCTCTGCAGGTGGCGATCTTCGCACTGGTACCAGAAAACTAACACGAGAGCCAAGTAATCTTCCACAGTAAACTGCTTACTTTCTTCTGTTCCTGAAGGATAAAGCTCCTCAAACAAAAACAGCTACAGATAGTCATGACAGCCAACTGAAAAAACAGCTTTTTGACCATGGCTGGTCATATCATCATCACTTCAAGCAGAGGTGAGGAAGAAGACTAAGCTAGAGATGCACTGCAGAAGACCCCACTTCTTAAAATTCAGTCCTAGTAATAATTTATCTGCAGAGCTTCCCCCACAGGCCTCATTTGTAACAAATCGAGAGATTATGTCATTCCAGAAATTGCAGGAAAGACTGAAAAGTAGTCAATGTTAAACCGTAACATTAACTCTTCATAAAAAGAGACAGTGTATGACAGCAGAAATATGCAAGAAAAAGCTCACATTTATCAGTTTCCCCTTATTAAAAACTTAATTCTTACTAGGAAGTAAAGAAATCTAAAAATATGGGAAGAGATTCAAGTTTCTCCTCTAACTGCCAGACTTGGTATAAAGTACTAGCTGCCTTCCCTAACCCAATCATAAAGCCATACACGTCTTTTGATTCCAAACAGAGATTGGATGCAAACCCTCTTTCATTCATCTGCAACTTCAAAACTTCTTTGATCGTCAGACATTAGCTTTCTACAAGCCTTTTGATTCCTAAAATAGTTCCATTCAGCCTACACAAATTGCACGAGCATTTTTAACTCCTCTTCCCTATGTATATGAGAAAGGCATAAACATACATACATATAGACACATGTATACACATGCGAAATACATAAGAAATTTATGAAATCTATGAGAACAATTGAAAATAGCAGCCTGTTGGGGCAGAGGCAATTACAGAACTTCTGAAACTCCATAGACTAGCAACTGTAAATACGTACAAATAAGCACAGAAAGGACTGATTGCTGATACTATATGCAAACATAAAAATATCTTATGTACAACCTCTGTTGCATATTGCATAGTCCAAGTGTGAACTCTGTGTACTCCCCAAATCGGCACCACAACCATGAAGCTGGCAGATTCCACAGCTAACATGCAATGTGCAGTCAAAGGCAGATTATATTATTCATCCCCACTCCACATTTTAATAAACTGAAGGAACCAAACAGTAAGAAAACAAATAAACAAAAAAAATCATCTTATTCACGAGCGTCTCTAAGGCTTTCCAGGTTGAAGTCTCAAAGGTGGAGTAGCACTAAAGACTTGATGTTTGCCCACCTCACCTTTTTCCTTCAGACTGCTAGTACCTACTATCAACCACCATCACCAGCGTGTCTTTTGGGAGCTTCTGAAAAATGTACTAAAGAAACAACGAAAAATAGAGGTCCCTCCCCGTAAAGCCTATCTCCCTTCATATGGGGGGTTAAGGTGCATGTTAACACTCACTCTTCAGTTTTCTAGTGACTGGTGATGTGCTGCCCCTGAAGATTCCCAATGTCAGGCATTTGTTTTAAAACATTTATTTAAAACGTTTGTTTTAAGTACAAAAGTCGCAGACCAATCAAGTTTCTGAAGAGGAACCGAACGGAATATATGCTGTATGTAAACGTTTCAGCACATTTTGCACCTTCTCAGCAAAAACTCATACCTCAGATCAGTTTTGCTCATAAGAAATCAACTTGCCTCTATCTTTATTGCTAGTTGTCAGCAAAAGTTGTAAAATATTTTAGGATGAGAACGCTTGAACAGTTACAGGTGCTGTCAAGGAGAATCTGAATTGCTGTTAACAACAGTCTATGCAGGGTTAGGAATAAAGAAGAGAAGGAAGATGCCAACTGTTAAAACAGAAACGCGTCCAGGCGTTACAGCCCACCCCGCAGCACTACAAGGCACTATAAGAAAGCGCTCTGATTTTAAAGAGGGGAGGGAGGGGGGTTACCTCGGCACCCAGCTGAGCCAGGCGCAGACGCCGGGCCCCGGCTGCCGCCCCTCGGCCGTTCTGCAGGGAGCCCGCCGAGGGAGCAACAGCTCGCGGGAGCGGGAGGTTCTCAGTCGGAAGGCTATCAGGCAGGTACAGGGGATCCCTCCTCCCAACGTGTGCACCGAAAGACACAGTGACTAGGTGTCTATGCTGTGTCAACATACGTATTAATTACATTTCCAAGAAATGCTTATCATAGTAATGGGTTTTCCGAGAACTCCTTAGTATATGTTAATAGCCTTCAATCGTTGGGGGTCTTGAGATCATCTTGCAGGCTCCTTATCTCTGCAGTTTGCATACCTGTTCTCCCAAGGCCGAGCCTAAAGGGATTATTCAGGAGTCTCTTATCTCACAACCGTCACAGTTACTCACAAAGAACCAAGACTTGCTTTGGTTGCGCAGTGATTCTGACCACCTAAAGTGATAACATCCTCTACATGTTACATTCGCTACATTCACAGGTATCAGCCTGATGGCGAGTTTCATCGCAAATACAGAAAACAAACCCAAGTTTGAAGCACAAGATTTCCCAGGAGAAGAGGGCGACGGCGGAAAAGATCTTGTCTATACCAAGAGACTGTTCAACAGAGCACTTGAGTAAGTACCTTTTTTTAAAAAACGAACTGTCAACACGCAAACTTGTAAGCAGTTTGCATTTAGTACTCAGCACACGGTTACTCCTCAGGGGCAGAGATTATGCATTTAGAAGAATTCCTTCAAGAACAGAAAAGAGCCCCTCTTGCGTTCAATCCTACCCATACTGCTCCCAGAGCCTGGGAGAATAACCACGATGACCGCCTCAGCCAGGTTCTCGAACACCAGATGGTCACAACGGTAAAGTTACAGCGTGCATAGCTAGAAAGACGCCATCACGTTTCAAAGAATGAATGCATTTACTAATGAAGAGGTACGTGACATCATCAGACAGCTTTCTTTTGTTTAAAAGATCTTTGTTTCAAAATTGGCCTAATGCGGCAGTTCTCCTTTAAGAAAACAAATTACGTCCTAAACTGAAGAAAGCTATAAAAACAGCGGACAACCCGGGTGAAGAGAGGATTTTTCTGTTCCTTGTCATGGCAGCTAATCTCTCTTCTGTTGCTCTGGTCATTAAGTATACAAAGAAAAGGTTAGAAAAATAACTCTAAATAGGGAGGTTAAAAGAATAAACTCTAACAAAAAACATCTAGGGATTATCTTAGCCAACATAATTATTCAAGAGAGAGAAGGCCTTTTAAGACCACAAAGTTGAAACCAAGAAAGCAGCAGATAAATTACCTAAAAACTCTGTGTGAAACCAAAAGAAAACTCATTTGTCAAAGTAGTTACTTCAAAAACAAGTAGAGAATAAAGTAACACCACACCTAGACTCAAAACTGGAGTTTTGATCCCAAAAGTACCATAACAACTGTGCCTCTACAAAGATTCACATCCCAACGCCCAAGGATCAGCAGTGTAAAGAGTGGAGAGGAAACTTTCTCCTCCCTGGAGGGGACAGAACTTGTGGAGCCCCAGGTAGAGTTACAGGGTCAGGTATGCCACGACCTTCCTTCCGCTACAGAAAGCCTTTAGTGTTGTAACATTCCCCAAAATCCAGCAAATTCCTACCAAAAGCTAACCTGAAGGAAGAACCACACACACACACACAAAAAAAATCCAACCCTTCTAAAGGAAGAAAAAAGACACACCAAAACCCAAGACGGGTTTGACATGGAGAGAGCACTTACAAACTAAAGCCACACGCAACAATACAAGCAGTTAAAATACGTTAAACCATGGAAGTTGCAAGAGATGCTTGCTCCTTGAAGAGCAAAGGAACAAGGGCATACTTCTGCAAATGCCAGTGGAAAAGTAAAATAAACCACACTCGCTAACTGCAGAAGGAAGTAATCATATGCTAGTTTATATTTTGTTCTGAGTGAAGGCTCAAGTTTATGATTTTCAGTTTCACCGACTTAAAATAGACACTCTGACATGTTTACTTTAAGAGCAATTAGCAACATCTCCTGGCTGAGTATGACTATCTTCCTTCAGCATCTATTCCTTAAATAGCGTCATTCCCTTCAGTTTTCTTCCTTCAAAAGAAAATCTGCCAAAGCTACACGTTCAGTTTTCCTAC